GGTGCCGCGGCCGCCCCGACCTCTCCCCGCCAGCCAAAGGCCAGCTGGGCCGGTGGCACCGCCGGGGTCCACCCCGTGCACCCTCATTAGCTTCAGTGACCTCATTAGGGTCAGCGACCTCATTAGGGCCAGCGACACCCTCGCGCCCTCCCGGCCGTGCCGCAGCGCCGGGCACCCACCGCGCCGGTGGCCGGGCCCAGTGGCCTAATGGATAAGGCATCAGCCTCCGGAGCTGGGGATTGTGGGTTCGAGTCCCACCTGGGTCGAGGAGGGGGGAAGGAACGTGGATTTTGCCCCACGGGGCGGACCGGCCACAGCCCCGCGGTGACGTGTGCGCCGTGCCGGCACCGCCGCGGCCACTTCGGAGCATCCCGGGGGCGGTGGGACGCGGGGTAACCTTCACGGGGCTTCCAGCCAGAGCCCCCCCCACCAAATCCCACCGGGAGAGGAATTATTTTCACCCAAGGCTGCCTTGGCAGCGATGGGCGAAGCCGAGACGGTTTTCCGCTCGCTCCCACAAGGACACGGGCAGCCGGACCACGCCTGGACGGGGCATGGGTCCGACAGGGCGTCGGGCTTTAATATCCCGGCAATCAGGCGGTGTCGTTAAGGGCAATAAAAGAATAAACCTCCTCGCACGATATTGCAGCCCGGCACGGCATCAGCCAAGGTGCCGGGGAAGTTAATGTTTGACGATGGGTCTGCCCGACGATGCTACGGCAGGAGGGGATGCCGGCACAGCGCCGGGCAGCGTTTGGGGGAAAATCTGTGGAAATGAGGCGGGTTTTCCACCGTCGTTGAGGGTTTGGCTCCGAGATGAGATCCCTGGCGTCCGTCCCTTCTCCTCCCCATGCCCATAAGTTTCGGTTTTGCTGGGGGTTTGCCTTCGGCACAAGCTCACGGCGCGGGGAAGGCAGATCCCGGGCAGCGTCTGCCGCAACCGGCCTCGTACCGAGTCCCGAGTCTCTCGTACCGAGACCGGCTGTTTGCCCGCTTTCGACAAAGCCCGGCTTGGGTACTGGTGGGGACCGTAACAAGCCTGGGGAGGTTCGTCCCTTGTCCCTGCACAAATACCGATGTCCTGGTCAGCATCACGTCAACCGGTTTCCCTTGGACGGTGCTGAGGAACCGCCGAGGAGCCGCCGAACCGCCCAGGTCCACCCAAAGCTCGGGCTGATCCCAACCCAGGTGGGATGGGACCTCCAAGATCGGCTGGTCCAACCTTCCGTGGCGAAGGAGCCTGGATCGGATCCATGATGGGGGCTCCACCACGTTGTCCCAGCCGTTGGTGGTTCTCGCTGTAAAACACGTCTTAGGTCAAGATGAGACCTCTCCCGGCGTTCCTTGTCCTCGCCGTGTGGCTGCTGGTGAAGGGAGAGCCCTCTGTCCGCTCGGTAGCTGCCTGGGGTGGGTTGACGGTGGTTGGCTGCCGGACGCCCACCCAGCCGCTCCATCACCCCCCTCCATCAACGGGACAGGGAGAAAATAGGACAAAAAGCTCGCAGGTGGAGGCAAGGACAGGGAGGTCGCTCACCGACTACTGTCATGGCAAAACAGACTCTACTTGGGGAAATTAATTGGATTTATTGTCACTCAGTAACAGAGTAGGAAAATGAGAAAGAAGAACCATCTAAAGATCTAAAACCATCGTCTCCCCCACCCACCTTCATCCCAGGCTCAGTGTCACTCCTGACTCCTCTTCCTCCTTCCCCCGAGGGACGGGGAACGGGGGTTGGGGTCAGTCC